TTTTTGTTTTAAATGGGTAAATAAGTAGCCTTGCTATTTTAAAAAAAGGCTCAATTTGAGACTACAGTGGAGTCTATGTGGCAGTGCACCCAAAATTCAAGTCCTGAGTCATAATCTTCAATCATAACCTGAGTCCTTAATCCAGTAGGGAGCTCAAGATGGTAATACCATGGTTACCAATACCATGATAATACCTTGGTTTGGACAGTGAATTCATAAACCGAGGAAGGTTGACAAATAAGTAGAGATGAAGAAAAGAAGTATGGATACACTTGTGCAAGTTATAGTTATTCTGATATAGTAACAAGTTTTGTAATAACTGAACTATTTTTAATGTTTCTAAGAGTAAAAAAGAATAATTTGCTACAATAAATTTAAAATACATTTACGGGACTCCCTGGTGGTCCAGTGGTTAAGAATCCACCTTCCAATGCAGGGGACATGGGTTCAATCCCTGATGGGGCAACTAAGCCCACACACCACAACTACTGGGCCCGCAAGCTCTGGAGCCTGCACACCACAATGAGAGATCCCGTATGCTGCAACTAAGACCCGATGCAGCCAAATAAATAAATAAATAAATATTTTTAAAATAAAAATAAATAAAATAGGACTTCCCGGGTGGCACAATGGTTAAGAATCCACCTGCCAATGCAGGGGACACGGGTTCGAACCCTGGTCCGGGAATATCCCACATGCCATGGAGCGACTAAGACCATGCGCCACAACTAGTGAGCCCAGATGCCACAACTACTGAAGCCCACACGCCTAGAGCCCGTGCTCTGCAACAAGGGAAGCCACCACAATGAGAAGCACTCATACCACAAAGAAGAGTAGCCCCTGCTCGCCATAACTAGAGAAAGCCCGCACACAGCAACAAAGACCCAAGGCAACCAAAAATAAATAAATTAAAATGAATTTATAATAAATAAATAAAATAAAATAAAATAAAAATATACTGGGAATTCCCTGGTGGTCCAGTAGTTAGGACTCTGCACTTCCATTGCAGGGGGACAGGTGCGATCCCTGGTTGGGAAACTAAGATCCCGCGTGCTGCATGGAGCAGGCAAAAATATAAATAAATAAATAAAAATAAATAAAATATACTTACAACAGTTAAATTCTCAGAAAGATTATGCTTAGATCATGTGTTTGCCATCTTAAGACATCTATAGATTAAAATCATCATCTATTTGTATATATAGTGTGGAAACCCCAAGTAAATTTAATTAACAATATTAAGTTGGTGTTAAATATTTTAAGATTAAATTCTTGTGACAAATTAAACACTAATCAAAATGTAAAAACAAATATACTTGTTTCTATATGTTACTAGACTTCTAAAATTTGTAAATGAACGTAGAAGTTTAAAAACTATGACCACTTACAATTCTAATAAACCAGATACTGATTTTAATACAAATAACTCTGAAGGCTTTTCCTCACACAAAAGGCATTACTCAAACATTATTTTTAAAAATATATATATATCAAGGGACTTCCCTGGTGGTACAGTGGTTAAGAATCTGCCTGACAATGCAAGAGACACGAGCCCTGGTCTGGGAAGATCCCACATGCTGCGGAGCAACTAAGCCCGTGTGCCACCACTACTGAGTCTGCGCTCTTGAGCCCGTGAGCCACAACTACTGAGCCTGCGTGTTGCAACTACTGAAGCCCACGCGCCTGGAGCCCGTGCTCCGCACCAAGAGAAGCCACTGCAATGCTCGCCACAGCCAGAGAAAGCCCACGCACAGCAACAAAGACTGGACGCAGCCAAAAATAAATATATGACGACTTAATGACGATAAATCCCCTAATGATAGGCTACACTATACGAATCTTCTGAATTTTTTTTTCTGGTTAAGAGACTGCCTACAAAAATTGATCTATCATGTTACTCAATCACAAAGTATATCAAATCACTCTCCCCTTTTTAAATACACCCCTCCTTTTACAAACCTAGTCTTTCCCAATTCCCATGCCCAGTTCTATACTTCTATTTCACTCTTCCCCTTTCTTCACCACCTATAAATCATAAAAATTCCAACTAAATTCACAGGCCCAACTGCTAATGCAGGGTTAGGTATTGAGAGATAACTAGTCTCAATTCTCCTGAGAAGTATCAAAAACATTCTTCCTTCCAAAGTACCGGCTGGAATAACAGCATGGTCACAAGTCTAAGATAAACTGTAGCTCTGTAAACAGTGATATGGGAATCACCTGAAAGGCTTTAAAAAATAGCGATGTCCAGCCCCACCACAAAGATTCTTATTTAACTGGTCTAGGGCACAGCCAGGATATCCAGATTTAATAAAGCTCCCAGGTGGTTCTGATCCAAGAATACGAACTACTGAGAAAAAGGAATAAATTAAACAAAGGAACAAAGGAACAAACAAAACAAAATTAAACAAAGTAAAGAAACAAACAACATTATAAGAAACAATCAGACAAAACCAATATGTGAAACATTCTACAGAATAACTGTAAATCAACAGCACGGGGAAAAAAACTACGCAAGATAAAAAGATTTAATTTCGGCCCAATGCATGGAACTTGTCTGAAGCCCAATTCAAGCCAAATATAAAAAAATAAATAAGTATAGCAAATTGGGGGACTTCCCCAGGGGTCCAATGGTTACGCCTCCGTGCTTCCACTGCAGGGGGCGCAGGTTCAATTCCTGGTCAGGGAAGTTCCACATGCCACAGGGTGAGGCCAAAAGAAAAAAAAATTGCTAATGAATTTGTTTATGATATATGCAGATTCATTACATTATTCTCATTTGTGTATATTTGAACACTTCTTAAAATATTTTTTTTTAAAAAAAGGAGACTTTGTTGGAGAACTAGAAGCTACTCATACCCTTGACAAAAGAATAATTCTCTATACAGGAAACTCATCCTCTACCATTTAGTGCTGGGAGAGGAGGAGGCAGGAAGGTAAAGGAGGAAGAGGATACCCATCAGACAAATCATCCAATGAGAAGACATATGTCGCAGCCACGTCATAGGGACATATCACAAAGAGAGATTCTGAATAATTTAAAGCAGAATTTTAAGTTTTAAGCAATTCTACCAGCAAAAGCCAAAAAATCTATTTTTAAAGAAACTTTTCCAGTAGTTATAGCATTACGCTTATTTCAAAATGTAAGCAATTTTCTCTTCAGCAGCATGACTGCACCGCCATGTCAATGATGCTTTTCTGGGGAGGGAGGTGGGAGAGGGTTGGATTGGGAGTTTGGAATTAGCAGTGCAAACTGGTATATATAGAATGAATAAACAACAAGGTCCTACTGTACAGCACAGTAACTACAGTCAATATCCTATGATAAACCATGATGCAAAATATGAAATAGAATGTATATATGTGTATAACTGAGTCACTTTGCTGTACAGCAATAATTAACACATTGTAATTCAACTATACTTCAATAAAAAATAAATTTAAAAAATATTAATGCTTTTCTGCTTCACTGACAACACTGTTTTCACCTAACAACAGGAGTAAAACAATAAAACGGAGCACTCCTTTAAACATTTCCTTAAGTCTCAAAATGTCAAACTCAAGAAAACATAAAAACTGCCATGATACAGAACCTTTAGAGCTCACTTGCTTGAAAATATTCACTTTTAAGTGTTTACTTCAAAAAACTCTAGGAAGGCAAATATTAAAACTGACAATTGAAATAGAATCTTTTGTTACATTCAACCAACTTTAACTGTTAACACTGAAGTGTTCAGTATCTATGAAAACAGAAACAGACTCACAGACAGAGAACAGACTTGTGGTTGCCACGGGGGAGGGGGAGTGGTGGAGGGAAGGACTGGGAGCTTGGGGTCAGCAGATGCCAACTACTATATAGAGGATGGACACACAACAAGGTACTACTGTAGAGCACAGGGAACTAGATTCAATATCCTGTGACAAACCATAATGGAAAGAAATGTGAAAAAGAATGTATATATAACTGAAACACTTTGCTGTACAGCAGAAATTACCTCAACACTGTAAATCAACTATACTTCAATTAAGTTTTTAAAAAAATAGTTAACTGTTCACATACAGATAACAAATCCCATTTCTGTTCTTTTGTATAATTCAACAATGGTGATCATATTCTACCAACTTCTGCTTGCAGGTATTAGAACTGTGGTAAAAAATCATTCAGGAACTCTTTTTTTTTCCCCCAGTTGTTTTGTGCATACAAGATGCTGAATATGACCTGGCAACTAAAGAAATCCTTTGTCCTAATATACAAATTGGAAAAATATTTTCCTGAAAAATGTTTTATTTCACTAAGGACAAAATGAGTGAATCAAACCAAATCATATACTGTGAGAGCAACTAAAAAAGACGACAAAATACAATGGAAAGAGAACTGTAATCTATGTTAAATGGTGCTCCAGAAAGAGAAACTGCGTATTTAGAGCCTATATTAAGTTACATAGACCAAACAGCAACGTAAAAATTCATCACATTAACTTTCCTAAGGCATTCAACAGGTGTAGCACAGTTTACAGCGGCACAGTCTCACAGCAGCCAAGATTTTTTATTACTCTGCTGGGGGAAAAAAGAGGAACATTTCTCCACCTTTCAGACAACGATGCTTCTACTCCTAGGAACAAGTGGTTGGAGAAGATGGGCGGGGCAAAAGGAGGAAGACCAATCACAGGTCGAGTTACAAGTCGGGTTCAGGAGAAACACGGATGAGAGCAGCTCGCTGAATGGCTGGCGCGCCCCCGGCTCGCACCAGAAGCACCGCACCTGGGGACCCCACCCCGCCACCTCGCCCCCCGGAGCCGTTTCCTACCCAAACAAACCCGGCCACCCCAAAGCAAAATACTACCTACAGGGGGGAGTTCCGTCGTCCCGGTGACGCCCGGGCCGCCCTCCCGCCCCCTCCGAGCGCCGCTCGGTCACTTCGCCCCTCCAGCAGGAGCCCAGAAAAGGGGGCGGGGGTCGGGCGCTCGGAAACACCGGGATGGAAATGTCAAAACTCTCACCAATTCCTCGTAGCTCCTGTTGTGCTCGTTGCCCTCCCAATCCAACCTCTTCGGCAGCAACTGCAAAGACCCGAGACGCACACGAGTGACCACCGCGCGGGGCCGGGCGGGGGGCGGGGAGCGGTGGGGTGGGG